ATCAACACTCCCGCCCAACTTGGTGTCAGAGAGGCTTAATGAAGAGAGTAGAGAAAATTATGCTGAAATTAGAAAATAGTCCTGAAAAAGAAACATTTTTACGAGACTGTAGTTTATCATCCAGTATTTTTCCTAGTGCACAAATGCACAGCAAATATTTCACAGTAAGAATGCATTCAGAAACTAAAGTTACGGATCTAAATAAAGCACTTAGCTCATCTCACTCTCTTTTACATTGAGTCAACTACTGCATTGAAGCTGTACTACCCTGGGGCAACAAGACTGAGCCAGTAATACCACAAGGACATGGTTGTACTTTCTTCTTTTATTCTCAGTTTTAAAAATCTTGATTTCTTGTAGCCATCAGCAGCATCTATGGCTGCTACCAGTAAGCAGTGAATTGGGAAGCTCTGTTTCATAAGTTTGTCTTCACTACGCTATCTGAGCTATAACAGAAGTTTTGGCCCTAACCTCAATCCTGTCCTCAAACATAAGTCTTGGGCTCAAGTTAGGCCAACTTTAAGCCGCTACACATCTGGTGTGTTGAGGCTCGGGGTATTCCGATGCTTGTAATGATGAAAGACTAGACTACTCAGATTACAGCCTATGAGCGTTTAAATGTATTGCTCTACTTATTGGAAATGCTTCCATTTGGCTGTGTTAGTCAGCACAAGAACAGTAGTATGTTCCCTTGCTTAATTACAATGCTTATTCCACGGTACAAAGCTTTTACTAATTGATCTTTTTGCCATCTACAATTTTGTAGATGATCCTAAATGTATAACTCATAAATCTGAAAATCAGAGATCAAAAGTAATAAAGTGACTGATGCTTTTTTGTTTTATAAGTAACAACATAACTACTTGTAATCCTTCCACTTCAATTTAACTAGCTCCAAACAAGCCTGTCACCTTCTTTGAACGACAGTACAGAAAAGTCCTCCTTGGACTAATGCATCTGTAAGCTTTCTATGAAGCAGTCTATTCAAATGAAAGTAGACAAGTTTTCCAAATGTTAAGAGACTTACAACTGTGTATCACAGTAGAGCATTCACATGCTTTACAAACAAGATTTCAGCTTTTGGTACTCCTATGCACTTAATTTTCATACTTACCACCTCTTGCCAACTCCATCACCATCTGGGGACCGTGTATAGGTGATCTTAAACTCTATGTCAGGTACAAGCTGCATGGCTAGACGATAAAACTTGATGGCTGAAAATAAAGGCTTAATGTTTAAACATGTCTGATGCTTATACTAGCTTATCAAAGAAAATACTTTTTTCAGAGAGAGGGCTTCAGCTAAAAGCACTAAAAAGGTGGAAAATGCCTTTGCTTAGTAAATCTTATTTAGTCTAAACTGATTAGGTTTAAATTCAATACAGAAGAGAGGCACATTGCGCACTATTTTCAAAACTAAAAACTTCATGTACTCTTTCAGAATAAAGAGCTCCCTCAGATGTCTTTCAGCTTTTATAGATTTACCTTAACTACCACAAATTCAATCATGAAGTACAACATTTTACATTAAAACATTACAAAGTCCTGATTTCGTTTGTTGCCCAGCACTTAAAAAGCTTTCTCAACAAGCTGTAAAGCTTTTAGGCATTATATTCTTAAGTACCCATGAGGAACATGAAAGAGAATTTGAAAGATGATGCAGGTACCTTAAATCCCTGATATAGTACAGACAGTACACAACATTATAAAGGTGAAAAAGATCAACAAAATATTGTTGTAATTTTAAAACTTCAACAACAGACACAAAACAAGTAAATTTTACTGTGGCAAAACCCTGGAAACTCTAGCAGGCACAGAAGCAAGCCACTCAAAACACTGAGGGTGAGGAACCTGACTGTAGGAAAGCAGACTTTTCAAAAAGCTATGTAGCAAGCACAAGACTATGGGGCGTAAAGGGAAAACTGACAGATGGGTTTCTTCTAGCACGCAGAGAAAGTACTTCTGCCTTTAACACTCCAAAGATGCTACACTGAGTAGAGAAACAGGCCCAGGAAAATCATCCTGTGGGAACGAACTGCTATTGTTTGTCTTTCTTCTAAGTTAACTCTATGGATCCTCCTTAATTTAAGTGGCTTCTTTGTATGTACATTCAGTCTGTTTTAACATCATATATGTATTTATATGTCTCTTTGTATTCCTACATGGTGATACCAAGATCAGAGGGCAACTCTCCCTCAGTTGGGACTCTTAAAAACAAAACCCAAAATAAAACATCAGTGAGTGCGGAGCTCAGAATTTGACACACTAATGAGTCTGAGCAGCCTGAGTTCCTATTTCCTTGAGTTCATGTCAGGGCTGGTGACTGACAAGTAGTATCCTTTGGCTGGTGAGGATGAGGAATACCAGCAGCCAGCTAAACAGAGATCAGTCTCAACTTTAGCATTTAAGCTTGCAGCAAGGCCTGTAGTGTACTTAAACATGAACAAGCTGCTGCACATAACTGCCTCACAAACGTCAGGTATAAGCAGATTTCAGAAGCAGACTGAAATGTCACTTGGACTCTGATGACCTGGGCCAGGTCAGCAGATAAGTGTGGTCTGAAAACAGATGTCCCAACATATGCTCAGTAATGTATCTGTGTCTGGCACCGGACCCTGTCTCTAAGGTCTCATATAGATGTATGTGTAGAAACAATTTAGGTTTGTTTCCTTAAGTCTCAGATAAAATTCAACTGAGAAAGAATGGATTCATATTCATGCAATCCGGATGCCTAAAACACCTTTGTGAATGCGACTCTGTTAGATGGTACTACTTCTCTGCTGCTATGTTTAACATACAAGGAGCGCACTCAAGCAGATGAAGCTATAGCTTTCTTTTTATATACACAATGCTTAAATAGACTGCTTTCCTCACATATATTTTTTTAATTTACTTGGAAACTGTTGGTACAAACGAACCTTCACAATCTACTGCATGATTTCCTAAATGGTAGATTACGTATCAGATTTAGTTCTGACGTCTTTTTTTACTGCACATTTAATTCTACACCCAACACACTAAATACCTTAGCCTACAGTAATTTTACCCCATAAAAACATGTAATAAATTAGAAACTGAACCAACTAATTTTATTACCTACTGGGGACTCATATTTCTCTCAGTTCATTTGAGATCTGGAACAACAACCAGAAATCCCTTGCAAGAGAAGGAGAACTCCCATGGTGGAGAGGAAATTTTAGATTCAACAGGCGGCTGAGCTCAGGAGCTTCCAGAGTACTCTCGGTTTTGCACATCTTGACATATTTTGCACCTGGACTTCAATCAAGGTGGCCAAAACCTCTAGTGAATGAGCAGGATGGCACGTACATTGTGTTCCTTTTTTTTTTCATGAAAGGAATAGAAAACTGGTGTCTCCACTAGTGACCTACAAGACTTGAAGTTAGGACGGGCTTCTTACTCTATATATTCTGAAAACTAAATATGAGGAAGAAAACTTTGAATTTCCATTTTTACTAGTGCTGATAGCAAGAAGGCAAGCAAGCTAAGCATCTTAAATATTTACGGTAAACCTCACAAAATGAGACTACCAGATTTAAACACTCACTTCAGGAATTCTTAAAGAAGCTATCTTAGCATGCTGTGTAAACTAAAAAAAACAAACCCAAAACCCAAACAACCAAACAACAAAACATTCCATGGGTTAAGTAGTTCTGTTCAAAGTGGAATGAAGAAAACTGTGAGCACATGAAATATAGTATATTGCCTTGATTAATTACTATGCTTATTTCATGTTACAAAAGTCATATACAGAAGCAAGCTATATGAAGAAGCAATCCAGTGCTTCATTAAATTGCTAGATTTCAAAACACTGTCATTTTGTCTGAAAGCTAGGAATTCTTCCTTGATCCCACTTCAGCTTCACCTCAACCTTAGAACTGTGATATGATAGTTCCTTTTATAGAAAGTGTGTTTGCTTATCCAAATAATTGAGCTCTCAAATTACTATTAGCCTGCAATTTAAGTTCACTGGCATCATGCAGTCTTGCACATAAATCAGAGAGTGTTAGATTCCTCTGCAATAAGAGTGTTCATTGTAGACTTCCATATTACCTTCATAAAGGGCCCCATTTTGTTCTTCTTCCACTGCCTTCAGGAAAAGTTCTTTTGCCTGCACAATAAATTACACAGAACACTTCTTAAATTCCTTACAAATATAAGCGCACTGTCACGTGACTTAGAATTATTTTTCATCTTACCTACTGTACCTTATGAAGGAGATGAATAAAATAATTCCATAAATAGAGTGAGAAGACATATTCATGTGCTACAAGCCATAACTGAAATTCCCAATCAACAAACTATCTACATTCCTTGGTGCTGCTTGCCCCTTACCTACAGTCTTTCAGAAAGCAGTCTGGGAAGGTGGCACAAAGCCAAGCATAAAAACTACAAAAATCAGTGTAGGATTATGGAAAGACATTAATATGGAGGGAACAGGTTAACCACCTCTGTTGTTTCTCTAGATTTAATTCAGCATTAGCTTTTACGTTAGTTATACTGCCACACCAACACACACAAAAAAATCCCAAAATTATACATCTATTTTTTTGTACCTTTTCCTCTTTTGCTATCTCCTGTTTCCCTCTGGCATCTACAGACTTTACTCCAGGTCCTCTTGAAGATGCTCTGCATGGCAGAGGTTCCAACCCACTAGAACTCATACCTGGGGCAAGCTCAAACATCCACTGTGCTCTGAACATCTGGAGCTCTGCCTAAAAAATCCGATTAATTCTGATTCATTATCACATATTCAGACAGTACGTCTTCTGAGGAGAAATTATAAAGTACAAACACAAAAAAGAATTTCAAAATTATGCTTTACATTTCCAAGTCTTAAATGGTTTCAGTGAGCATAGACACAGAGAGTTAGCAATTGTTTTATAGTAAATTTAAAAAAAAAAATGCACAAGTACTCGTACAATCTCATTCAATAACATAAGTGCTTTCATCTGGACTGTTCACCTCAGAAGAAAAACTGGTGTTTCCAGAAGTGGTTGTTATTACTACGGTTATGACCTAAGACTCCATACAAAAGCATTCTTTCTAGACATGATGTTTGTTCTTGTTTATGCAGAGTTACCTTAAGCAAGAAGTCAATTAGTTCTTGAAATCAAAATTTAGAAAACCTAATTATTTGTACACAAGCATACTAAGCTTTATGACAATCAAGGCTGTCATTTATATAATATACAAGTAAGACCTTACACTCATTTCTCCTTTAAAAAGAAAGGACTATGCTCTGTGAAACAAGACAAGTTATAATTCCTGCCATGCATTTTTTTCATGCGTGGCAAGAATTTTTCATTCACTTCTGGGGAGCAACTAGACAGAAATCTAGTATCATAAGAGAACATACTTTTCTATTAGACTGCTTTTATCAACTTTCTGCTCCAGAAGAGAGTGACAACTTAAACTGGAATTTGATCCATACAGAAATTGCTGTCTGATTTCTACAATTCTTCAAAGAAATTTCAAATCTGCCACAAACTTTCTTATCATCTACACAGATAACTGAAGTCTGAATTTGACGCTTGGAACACAAGGCAAAATTTATCTGTTTCACTTTTGGAGGGGCAGACAGATTAAGCATTTGTCAGATCAAAAAATGCATGTAACTAAATGAGCATAAGTAATGCAGCTTAAATCACAGCAGTACTGTAAAAAAACACTAGCATGAGACATACCTGAAGATTTGCTTCACTGGATCTTTCATTGTCATCGGTTCTTACCAAATCAGAGTGACAATCTTCTTCAGCTTCTGCCTAATAGAGAGCAGTCAGACGTGATTATAGAGTCTGCATAAGTCCCCACAGCACATTCACAAAGCACAACTGTCATGGACACACATTAAAAAAAATTTAAGCATACTCCCCTTTTCCCCATCCTACCCCACAGACCAATCTTAATTGATGATAAAAATTAATCTTAAAATCACTGGTCTTGTTTGCACCTCCCTATTAACCCAATGAAGTTGGTTTTTGCATTTCAGTCACATCAATCCAACACAGATTAGTTATGTATCACTTGAAGGCTTACATGCATCAGTACACTGCCATAATACCTGAATAAATACGCTCAGTGTCTAAGTCAAAGCATAGAACCAAAGCTTCAGTACTAAACAGTAGTGTGCGTCATACAAGAAATTAAAATTTAATCACTATCTTCTCATTGTAAAGATAACCAGTAGTTTTGATTTGTTTAATATTTACAAAAGCACAAAAAGACTAGTGCTTTGAGTAACAATACTTTATGAAAATTATGGGACAATATGGGCAATCTCAAAAACTACATGTGAAACTAAACAAGAAATGTATGAGCTAGCATGAGAGCTTGACAGCTGGTTTTATTTACAGTACTGCTGTGAAACAGGTTAAACAAATAAGACCTTAAATAAGACCTTTAACTAAACTTAACAGGGCTCTACATAGGAGTTAGCTAGTTTAAAAGCGAAACTTAAAAAGAAGCAAATAAATTCTCACTGTGAAATATACTGAGATTTATGGAAATCTAAACTAAAACAAAGGAAAGCTAATTCTGAGCATCAGTGACAAGCCACTAAAATGACAACAGCAAGATGCCAGTAAAGAAAAAACCCAAAACCTCAACAAAAACTAAGACATTTGTTTAAAAGTTCTTCCTGCAGCTGAAGTATCCCAGTTTTTCTAACACTCTGCGCTGAAATTCACATTTATAGTTCTGCAAGTACATAATGCAAAGTGAGATTATAAGAAGGTAAACCTGGCATTAAGATTACCACAACTACTTACATAAGTTTTGTTTTCCACTCCTTCCTATTGTAGATAGTGCTCAAAAACTTCAAGTGACATTCTGTCAGTGTAATTCTTCCGAATTCTCGTAAAAAAATCTATATCTCCTGCACAATCGAAGTGCAGAAATCAAAGCATTCTTGTATTCAGAAAACTTACAAAATTTTTATAGCACCTGGAAGTTCATGATCAAACTACAGAATACTGGCAAACCTGATGGGAAGGCAACGTTTAATCTCTTTGTCTTGGTGACAAGCACCTCCCTGGAGTTCAGCTGTAGCATTTGTCTCCAGTTCCCCAAACAACAACAAACTTACCGGCTTACCATCTGTAAGTGTGTTTTCACTGATGTCTCAGCAATTTATCTTTTACAATTGATAATGCAGACAGTGTTGGTTAGTTAAAGCAAACATAGTGCATCTGTTTCTACACGCTGATTTTAAGGCTGTACATTTTTAATTTCTCAGTGGAGAAAACAGGTAAGCCAGAACGCTCCAAAGCACTAGCAGCGTTAAATCTGAGCAAGGAGAAAATAACTTAGAAATTTCATGGTTTTTGATTCCAGAATTTGACTGCAGGCAGTTAATGTCCTATGAGTTACAGCAGTCCTATCACATTATTTTAGCATCCAGGGATTACGTCTATGCTGGCCAAAAAGAGATAGCCTACGAACGAGCTAGCACTGAAATGGATGTTTGTAAGTGCATTATTATGACAGTGGGCTGACACAAATAAGGCCCACCTCTGCCTGCGCAGAGTGCAAGGCTTCTGGTTTGCAGCTGAATTATGTCCAGTGAGCTCTCAGTCTGGGCAGAGTAAGCCCAGTTTTATCTGTAAAATGCAGAAACTAGTAATTCCTAAACTACATCAACACACTATCTTCTTGTGCATAAAGGCACGCCCATTAAAACCTTTAACTCATGAAGTACGTAAACAAACTAATTTAAGAATTAAAATTATTTACAAGGTGGCTGAAGTTTAACTCATGTTCAAAAACTTTTTGTTTCAGTAATCTGTTCAAGAGTCTTGATTTTCCTCCCCTCGTCTCTGTTCAACTGCTCTACTTCTCCTTCACTTCTGAGTCACAGTCAGTCATGGTTCTGGACCAACTGCTTCCAAAATGTCATTCAATGCTCTTTAAAACTTAAATGTGCTCTCAAACCAAACCGAAAATACACCATACTATGAAGACCTAGTCCACAGCCTAAAAGCTGTCAAAAAACATCATCAAGTTGATAACAACCAAAGTTTTTACTTTTGTCATTACCTCCTCTATACTGAGTGCATGTGTGATCTGAAGTCTCTCATACCAAAGGTTTGTCGTCTGGCAGCAGTGGCAGTGTAAGTGACCATCCCTCTAAATTTACCAGTAAAGCAATTCATTCACATCGCTACTGTATGGCTAACTGGACTGGAAAACTGATCTCAATTAACAACCTTTCCACTATTTATTTGATCTGCTGAAAGCCTACGGTTTTGCTAGAACAAATGAGTAAACACAGGTATCGCTGAAGCAAGGATCTTCACTAGCAGACAGCTCATGAGACCACACCTAAAGCAGGTTGTAACTTGTAAAAATTGGCTCCTTGCCCCCACTCTGACAATACTTAAATTGTAGTTATAGTTTCTGAAGTTCACAGAACATTGTACTGTAACCGCTACTTAGTGGGTAAATCTAGCCTGTTCATCCTTATGTGGTTGGCCTTCCTCCCGCTACAAGTCAGCTGTCATATGGAACAGTGACTTTATCCTGCTTGAAAGTGAGACATCCTTAGTGTCTACTGATCAGCTCAAATAATTTTCCATGAGAAAAGTGGTAGCCAGTCAAGCCACCAAAAGGTCAACATGTCAAAACATCTAAATTAGACTGTGACCTGTAAAAGAAGTCAGCTGAGGAGATTTAATTCTGATTTGTTTGCAAAGCTTTAGAAATCATTTGCCAAATGCAAAACTAGTTTATCTGCACAGCTTAGTTTTAACTGTTTGGCAATCAATAATTGCATGCTGATTTTCTCAGAGCACAACAATCACTTATTAAACTGCCTGTAATGTCAAGTCCTTTAATAGTTCAGATTTTTGTTTCAGCAAAATAAAGCCAAGATAGAAACAGTTCAAAGTTGACTGTCACCAGTTGCACAGGGCTAAGTGTGAACTGTACAGAACTAAGGGAGAAGGAAGCACGGCGTAGCGAAACAGTGACTGACGGCTAACCTTCTTAGTATTATAAGAAAATGAGTTAGTCGCTCCATTTTTCTGTCAATGTGGTAGAAGCAACACTGTATTCAAAAATAAGAACTTTAATCACGGTGGTAAGGCGTTTTAAAAGTTCCCGAATGATATAAATGGTTTAACTTTGAATGATCAAGTCCTCATCATGGATACCTGAATCCATATTGAGGTGCAGTCAGAAAAGCAATACTGAACCAAACAATATTTCTGATATGTTAAATCACAAACTCAAATAAGCAGAGTGCCCGGCCCACGGAGCCGTTTAAATTACCAAGTGACTTCATGCCATCTGCTTTTTGAGGGAAGTAAGAAAAAGGTAGGGCACGCTCATCTGTAATGACACAGTGATTTGTTCAGGTGTTTCTACGGATAGCTAGATCGGTCCTGAATCAAGCAGCCCCCACTCATCAGCCCAAAATGCCTTGCGGAAGGCGGCCGTGTCTCCTTGCGGTGGGATAACGGCCAGGATCACGGGCACACTTCCCGCAGGCATCACCCGCGGGCAGGCGGACCGAGCAGCGCTGCCTGGCAGCAGCACGGCT